AGTTTCAATCAAGCTCCCCAAAAATCACAGTTTTCTTTGTTTCTCTTTTCATTTCCTTTTCAAATTCAAAACCATAAACCTACTACTTTTGCAAAATTAAAATTAAAATCAGATCATCCTTCTTTTTTCTTCTTCTTATTCTTTCTCTCTCTCTCTTCTCCCTTGTTCCTCTCCAGATCTAGGTTTTCTCAAAACCCAGATCTAGGTTTTCTTAGGCTTGTTGAACCGGCAACAGCTATAGAGACCACTGAAGAGGGATTAATGTCTAGTACCTTCTTGAGGCGGATGGCGCGGATGGCTTCGCGATCGGAAGTATTAGAGGTGGAGGAAGAAGAGCGACAGTTCCTAGTTGTAGAACCCACGCCGGAGGTGGTTGTGGAGCAGTGGATGACAAAAGCAGAATATATTCATTTACCAGAAGAGAAGGGAGAGGAGGAAGAACGAAAGAGGTGACTGAAAGGCCTCGTCGATAGGCTCTATACCTTCAAAGCCGCCATTGTCACGATCACGAAGATGTATTATGCTACGCCTTTTTGCTATTAATCCTTTTTGACTTGGTGTTTGGAAACTTTATAAAGGGTCTGTTTGGATGGAGAGAAAATATTCTCCGGATAATTCCTTCAAGAAAATAATAAATATAACGACAATCAAATGGTTTGTTCCATTAATTCGAAAAATTAGTCCTTTTCAATGGAATTGGGACAGTGTTGTTTGAACAAAATAAATTGGATTGCACATTTCGGATTTGAGAATACAACCGGTTTTAAAATGATGAAAAATCATGACTTTCGCTGCTAAATTTCATTAACAATGGGAAATAATGTACAAACGAATTGAAACCCAAGTGGGTTCAGTCCGGTTGGAGAAAGATCCTCGACCCAGCAGTTGCTCGCATTCGAGTTTACAAGCGATGGTGTATTCATAGACCTGGTTGCTCCTCTAGTTTGGGCCATAAGAAGTCGACCTTGGTGAAGAGACAAGCACCCGAGGCGATGGCAACGGCTGTGATGGCGATGAGCAAACTAAGGTCGATTCAACAAGCCTGAGAAAACCTAGATCTGGGTTTTCTCAAACCCAGATCTGGAGAGGAACAAGGGAGAAGAGAGAGAGAGAAAGAATAAGAAGAAGAAAAAAGAAGGATGATCTGATTTTGATTTTAATTTTGCAAAAGTAGTAGGTTTAGGGTTTTGAATCTGAAAAGAAAATGAAAAGAGAAACGAAAAAAACTGTGATTTTTGGGGAACTTGATTGAACTGGAAAAAGAGAAAACAAATTTTTATGTGGGCCTCACTAAAAGGAGAAACTAAGAAGATGATAATCTTACGTGTAAAAAAATGATACGGTGACAATATTTTCTTTATTGGACATACATGTCCTTAAAATTTTAAAAAGCTAATGATTTTGTGGCATCTTAACGTGTCACTTATGCATTTAACTGACGGAAGGATCATTTTGGCATCGAAAATGAAAGTTTAAGAATAATTTTAATATTTTTTTAAAATTGAGGGACAATTTTGGTGCTAAAGTGAAAAGTTGAGGGATCAAAATGGTACTTTAACCAACTTATTTCACACCATTAATTTTAAATTTTGCCCTCTAATTTGGCCCGATGTACAGTTACTGTAAAAAGATAGGATTTCAAAGAATTTTTTTGTAGTCTTGTCCTCGTATTTCTAAAATTCTTTCGATGGAGGTACTTGTATTACGGAATTTGTATAGATCTATTTCGGGGCTGCGGTTATACTCTGGATTCTCAAGGGCACCAGGCGGACAGCTATGAAGAGATCAGGGAACCATGACCTCCCTTGGACTTTGAAAAGTTTTTAAATCAGTCCTCAAATTTTGTATTTTAAAATTTGCATACTTAAAATTTTATTTGATTTATTTAATTATTTTTAATATTTATAAAAATAATTCATTTTTTCTTTAGTAAATCTTGTCATTAAATTCAAAACAGGATGTTAACATAATAATAATTAATAACTCTCTATGACTAATCTAATAAACATAAAAACTTCTATAAAAAAAATAAACATAAAAATACCTTCTAATATTTAATATTTTTAGCCAAAAAAATTAGCGAGAAAGTCTCTAAACTTTTAACAATTCTCCATCCTATCCTCCCTTCTCCTATGTTCTTGGGAAAACCCTAAATCATCACCTTTGTAATGCCTAAAATTAGTCCAAAAAATATTCATTTTAATTACTAATATCTTTCTAGATTAAATATTAAAACTTCCACTCTAAATTATATTTTTTTATTGAGTCAAATTTTTTTTGTTTATTTTATTTTGTCATTTTCTATACCAAATTTTGATATGATTCTAAATTTATGACAATTTTTTAGATATGTTTTATTTTTTTTCCACAAATACAACTAGATAAATATTCACAATTTGCAAAAAATTCTAAATAACAATATATTTAATATTGACCATGGCCAAGTTTGATTTTAGACACAAGGTTATAACTTTACAAGTATATATGTGTTACTCCCTCCATACTTTTTTAGTTATCATAATTCATCAACTTTATGTTTATTTTTTTACCATCATCAACTTTATGTTAATTAACTTGATAATTTTACATAAAAAATTAATTACAATTATAAAATTTTGTTGATCTAAGTAAAATATTTAACAAGTATTATATTTAGAAAGGAAAAAATTTTCAATTATATACATTTGCTATATAAAATTATTAAGTCAAACTTTATGCAAAATTCAAAATATGACAACTACAAGGGACTGAATGGAATAATAATTTAGATACAAGTTTGATTTAGGTATCTACAAATTTGGCATCCCCTTATATCAAATCTTGGCTCCGCTAATAAAGGCCACACAAAAATGTTTTTTATTTTATCAAATTACTATTTATCTACTGAATTTAAAACAGGATTTGTGGTTAAAGAAAATTTAAAAGAATAAAAGTGATAAAAAAGAAATTTGATAAAGTAAATATATTTTTTGTGTAACCTTAACAATTTAATGTATGACTATAACTGAAGCCTTATTACGGTGGGAAAAGGATGTCAAGTTGGGATGACAATTTCCTTCATGCCCAATGGAGCTCTATGGGGATATCTGTGGGAGGATAGAAATTCTCAAAATATTCTTTCTTGTATGGTTCTTCTATGGTAGTGATGGAAACAATTTTTTCCTTTTAAAATTTTGTGAGAAATTTCCCCCACTTCGTGAGTTCCTTGAGAATCTATATATTAATTAAATAATTATAAATCATATTTTTATAAATTATAATAAATCTAAATATCCCAATTCTTAAACCCAAACCTTAGTCACAAACACTTTTGACTACACATCTCTTCCTCTCTTTAGTACCTCAATTCCTCATGACCTCACCTCTCCTCAATTCCTTCGTTCCTCAGTTCGACAGTTCCTAGATGAATCCACCAATGGCATTAATTATGTAATATCCTGAATAACTTTTGAATTTCCCGTAATTATTATTATTAAGAGGGTTAAAATTTATTTATGAGCATATATAATTTTAAATTCAAGAGATTATAATCTAATTAAATCAAATTAATTTAAAGATTTAATTTGGGATTACCATCATTTAATTTAAGAATTATTATTTCCCTAAATTAGATAGGTTAAACCCCCATTTTGGTCCCTCAACTATTGTACTGACCCCCGACTTAGTCCCTCAACTCAAAAAATCCCTGATTTGGTCCTTACTGTTTACCATTTTTACCCCAATTTAGTCCCTCCGTTAAAAATCCAATGACATGTCATGTTAATTAACTGCAACATGATGACGTGTCAAAATAACGTGCCACATCAGATCCACGCATGAAAAAAGTGATGACATGGAAAAAAATATGTCAAAAAAAACTTTAAAAATTCTTCTTCTTTTTTTTTCTTCTCTCTCCCTTTCTTTTCCCCTTCAAACCCAACGCTTACGGGGTTCTTTCGAATCCAAGAGGACGCCTTGGTTCGACCTCTTCCTGGGTTCGAAGGAACTGAGGGCCTGGGTTCGTTCGAACCCAGGAGGAGGACGAACCCATGAGGACACCTGGGTTCGACCTCTTCCTGGGTTCAAACGAACCGAGGAAGAGGACAAACCCAGGCGTCCTCCTGGGTTTGTTCGAACCCAGGCGTCCTCCTGGGTTCATTCGAACCTAGGAAGACGCCTGGCTTCCTGGGTTTGAAAGAACCCAGGTGGATTCCTGGCTTCCTTGTTCGTTCGAACCCAAGAGCAAAAAGTAAAAAAAAATTCTGTTTTTTTTTTTCTCTGTGGATCTTGTTGTTTCATGATGATGAAGAATTGATTGATGAAGGAATTGAGGAGGAACTGGGAACTGGGAAAAATACAAAAAATTTCTCTTTTTTTTTCTGTGGATTCTTGCTGAGAAATTGAGAGAGCTCTGTTGTTCTAGGTTCGAATGGGAAGAAAGGAGGAGAAGGGTTCAGGTGGGGCCCACTCACTTTTTTTTTAGTTTTGGATCAAAATCATACTACCATGTCATTTTTTTTTACAGGTATGCATAAGAGGTGTCACTCTATTTAAATATGTGATCATGCTGCAGTTAATTAACGTGACACGTCATTGGGTTTTTAACGGAGGGACTAAATTGGGGTAAAAATGGTAAACAGTAAGGACCAAATCAAGGATTTTTTGAGTTGAGGGATTAAGTCAGGGATCCGTACAATAGTTGAGGGACCAAAATGGGGGTTTAACCAATTAGATATTATTGAGTTAAATTAGGATTAGTGATTTTGGATTGTTGTTGATTAATATTCAATGTAAATTTTAGGTTCTTGATTATTTGCACATTTTAAATTTGAGATCTCCATTTTCGAGATAAGTGAATTTATGGTTTTACCATTGATTTTAAATATAATTTTAAAACATGATTTTTATTAATTTTGAGATGGTGGCGAGAATTAAGAACCTATTTTGGTTTAATTACCATGACTGAATCTCATTTTATTTTAAGTTGGAATTCATTTGGTTAAGCAAGCTTATTCATAGAAAGTTTTTAATATAGGCTCCTTGAACCCTATAATACATGTTTTCTTGAAATAAGTTTGTTTACTTGAAATGTACTTGTTAGCCTATTTTAGTTTCCTATATAGTCATGTTCTACTTGTGCCCGCTAGTGTGAGGATTATAAACGCTAACACATGTCGACATGTTATTTGTAGAACCAGTTTATTCTTGTTATACTTGTTATTCTGCTTATGGGATTATACACTAGCAAATCTTGTGCCTGCCAATGAGAGATTTATAAACGCTAGCCATGACTTATAAAGGAGACGTTTATTTCATTTCCTATACTTGTACTAGTTTTCTTGATACTTGATTTATACTTGTTGACATGCTTAATTTTAAATCTATAAATAAAAAGGGAAAACCCTAATATTCATTTATTGAGGTTATATCTTACGTTTATTTTTCCTTGTCCACTATTTCAGATAACAATACTAAAGACGTTGAGGTTATTAGAGTCAGTTTGGACTTAGTTGAGACTCGATTTAGTTCTTTTGGACTTATTAAAAAGTTAAGGATTTGATTTGCAATTATTACATAATTTGACTTTGAAGTATTTATTTGAACATTACTCAAATTTTAATAATAATAGAGATATTAAGAGATTTTATTTATTTATAATTGATTATACACTATTGCAGGAATCATATATTCAGACCAAACTTTCAGTCTGAATATGTGAAAACTCAGTCCGGATATATATATTCAGACCGATATTGGTCCTTATAATTGTTCTGAAAAAACTTGGTACGAAAAAATATAATATACAAACCGACACAAAATCAGTCCGTATATATATAATATATGGACCGAAATCGGTCTGGATATTTCAGTAAAAAAAATATAAATGGTTATTTAAAAATTAAAATAAGCGGACCAAAATTGGTCCCAAAAAAATAATATAATAAAATAAGAAAAATTGTACGGACCGAAAACGGTTTGAAAATGTGGCGGAAAGAGGCATACTAACTATATTCGAACCGGTATCGGTCCGAATACGGAGGACCCAGCAGCAACTTTTAAAACTTACGGCCTCAATCTGTCCACTTCAGAAACTATGTACAGACCGTTTTAGGTCGGAAATGTTTGGACTTATTTGTAACTTTCAAAAGTTCTTAGCCCTACTGGTGACATTCTCAAACTATATCTAGACCGTTTTCGGTCCGAATATGTTGGAGTTTTTTGTAACTTTTAAAATTACTGTCCCAACCGACTCCATTCTGAAAATATATCCACACCGGTTTCGGTTTGAATAGATTGGACTTGCTTGTAACTTTTAAAAGTTCCTCTCCCAACTGGCGCCATTCTCAAACTATATACAGACCGTTTTCAGTCTGAATATGTTGGACTTGCCTGTAATTTTTAAAAGTTTCTCTCCTAACCAACGTCATTCTTAAACTATATGCAGACCGTTTTCGGTCCGTAAATATCTTTAAAGAAAAAAAAATAAAAAAATAAAAAATAAAGAAAACATATTTATTTTATTTAA